GTGGCTGACTTACAACAATTCTGCCAAGATGAGTGGGCCAAAATTCCTCCACAGCGCTGTAAAAGACTCATGGCAAGTTATCAAACGCTTGATTGCAGTTGTTGCTGCTAAGGGTGGCCCAACCAGTTATTAGGTTTAGGGGGCAAACACTTGTTCACACAGGGCTATATAGTTTTGGATTTTGTTTTCCCTTAATAATAAAAACCTTCATTTAAAAACTGCATGATGTGTTTACTTGTGTTATCGTTGACTAATATTTAAATTTGTTTGATGATCTGAAACATTACAGTGTGACAAACATGCAAAAAGATAAGAAATCAGTAAGGGGGCAAATACTTTTTCACACCACTGTATTTGCAAATTGCTGCCACAAAACAGGTCTAAAAGATGAGGATGGATGCTATGTCAGTTTCAAATTCTGAGACCTGAAGGCAGTTAAACTAGTGAAATAACTATATGTAATATACAGTAGATAATGTAACAGTCCTACAATGGTATCAAGACATTTTTCTGTTGTGATATTGATAAGTTATAAATCTCGTTACATCCTTACCGTTAAGTGAATTTTGTCAGTACAACATATACACATCTACACACAATATACAGTGGTGTGAAAAAGTGTTTGCCCCCTTACTGATTTCTTATCTTTTTGCATGTTTGTCACACTGTAATGTTTCAGATCATCAAACAAATTTAAATATTAGTCAACGATAACACAAGTAAACACATCATGCAGTTTTTAAATGAAGGTTTTTATTATTAAGGGAAAACAAAATCCAAAACTACAAAGCCCTGTGTGAATAAGTGTTTGCCCCCTAAACCGAATAACTGGTTGGGCCACCCTTAGCAGCAACAACTGCAATCAAGCGTTTTCGATAACTTGCCATGAGTCTGCCACAGCGCTGTGGAGGAATTTTGGCCCACTCATCTTTGCAGAAGTGTTGTAAGTCAGCCACATTGGAGGGTTTTCGGGCATGAACTGCCTTTTTAAGGTCATGCCACAGCATCTCAATTGGATTCAGGTCAGGACTTTGACTAGGCCACTCCAAAGTCTTCATTTTGTTTTTCTTCAGCCATTCAGAAGTGGACTTGCTGGTGTGCTTTGGATCATTGTCCTGCTGCAGAACCCAAATTCGCTTCAGCTTGAGGTCACAAACGGATGGCCGGACATTCTCCTTCAGGATATTTTGGTACACAGCAGAATTCATGGTCCCATTTATCACAGCATGTCTTCCAGGGCCGGAAGCAGCAAAACAGCCCCAGACCATCCCACTACCACCACCATATTTTACTGTTGGTATGATGTTCTTTTGCTGAAATGCGGTGTTACTTTTACGCCACACATAATGGGACAAACACCTTCCAAAAAGTTCAACTTTTGTCTCGTCTGTCCACAGAGTATTATCCCAAAAGTCTTGGGGATCATCAAGATGTTTTCTGGCAAAACTGAGACGAGCCTTTATGTTCTTTTTGCTCAGCAGTGGTTTTCGTCTTGGAACTCTGCCATGCAAACCATTTTTGCCCAGTCTCTTTCTTATGGTGGAGTCATGAACACTCACCTTAACTGAGGCAAGTGAGGCCTGCAGTTCTTTGGATGTTGTTGTGGGGTCTTTTGTGACCTCTTGGATGAGTTGTCGCTGCGCTCTTGGGGTAATCTTGGTCGGCCGGCCACTCCTGGGAAGGTTCTCCACTGTTCCATGTTTTCGCCATTTGTGGATAATGGCTCTCACTGTGGTTCGCTGCAGTCCCAAAGCTTTAGAAATGGCTTTATAACCTTTTCCAAACTGATAGAGCTCAATTATTCTCTTTCTCATTTGGTTTTGAATTTCTTTGGATCTCGGCATGATGTCTAGCTTTTGAGGATCTTTTGGTCTACTTCACTTTGTCAGGCAGGTCCTATTTAAGTGATTTCTTGATTGCGAACAGGTGTGGCAGTAATCAGGCCTGGGTGTGGCTAGAGAAATTGAACTCAGGTGCGATAAACCAGTGTTTTGACAGGGGGGCAAACACTTGTTCACACAGGGCTATATAGTTTTGGATTTTGTTTTCCCTTAATAATAAAAACCTTCATTTAAAAACTGCATGATGTGTTTACTTGTGTTATCTTTGACTAATATATAAATTTGTTTGACGATCTGAAACATTACAGTGTGACAAACATGCAAAAAGATAAGAAATCAGTAAGGGGGCAAACACTTTTTCACACCACTGTATATAGGCAAATGCAATGACTGACACACTTCCATACATATGGGGTTAAAGTAACCAGCACATGCAGTGTACACATTTAATGAGAAGTCAGTGTCTCTAATTTAAAGCTGTATCTGGAAACTCTGCACATATTGATTATTAGAGGCAGACATGTAACTGTAAAAACACCAGTCTTTATTCATTTGTTTTGTTTCAGTTACTAGGAACATGATCCCCTGTTCCTGCTTTGTGCTTTATGATTAGAGTGCATGTTAAGCCTAAATGTCCTGCCAGGTGCAGCTTTAAACATGACCACAATGCAGAGTCGTAACAACAACCACAAACGTTTCACACAAAAAAGTGATGAAATCACACCTACCTTTGCTAATTGGTGGAGAGTAGAGCTACAGAATATACTGAAAACTTTTACAATTAGACCTTTTTTGGAAACCAGTAAGTGGATTTATAATAGAATCATGCTAGTTTAGGGTCATGTAAAGAAGGCCTGTCGTAGAAAGGTAATGTAATGTTCAAATTCCATATTGTATACAGTATATTTTTCCAATAATGTCCATACTTGTTAGTAGTGCTGTTCTTCATCCAGTTGGCAAACATCTCACTAGCCATTGTCACGCAGTCTGAGAGTCCACTGGAACATGCCACCTGTATGGCAGTGATCTGGTTGTGCCTTGGGATGAAGCACAGTTTACACTTACTGTATATACAGGTATTAAATAATGATAAATGTCATGCAGTGGGTTTTAATGAGCAAAGAGATGCTGTTGAAAGCTCAGATTAAAGATAATAAGTGCACCTTGAATTAAGATTATCCTTTGGAGTGTAACAGAATGAAATTTAGCATAATTTGGGAAGACAAGTTCATGTTGGGCCAGCACTGATGTGTGTTAGCAAAGAGTTGTCTATTTACACATCCAATGCCAATAAGTCCAATATCCACCCCTCTTCCAGCTCTGTTTTGGTCTAGCCCCAAACTGTCTGTCTGCTGTTTAGTGGGCAGGTAGTGTACAGTCAGTACATGACTGCTGTTCACCTGAGAATACCTGCCTGCTGCAACTGGAAATGAGACTGATGAGATGCAAGCTGCCAAAACAAAAACTAGGATCTAAAAGAAGCTGAAGAGCACAGTAGAACCTAGGGGAAATGTGGAGTTAGATGGTAATAATACAAGCAACACTTCTAAAAAAAAAAAAATGTTTACAATTAATTAAATTTATCTGATTTTTAATTCATGGTGTCAAAGTATTTGAAGGTGTTTAAATTGAATTTGGAGAGTAGATGAATTACATTAGTGATAAGTCATCACAGTGAATGAGTCTTGTAAATATTTCTTGTTAGGTTGGTTGCTTGGGATCTCTATGATTATTTTTAGTTTTGTAAAATATTTTGCCATGTTGATTTGGCAGAGTGCTGCACATACAAAGAGACTGGAAAAAAAACAACAACCAATAACCAAAGAATCTTTCAACTGAGTTTACAGATATAGTGCATACTTTCCTGAAACAACCACTTTCTTCTTGAGAACTGGTTCCATATACACACAGTACTGCCAGTGCCACTCCACACTGCACACCTGTTACTAATGTAGATGGCTGATGATGTGTGAGCTACCAATGAAAACACACCTCTGCCCTGCACTGGCGATCTTTGGATCATGACTCTATAAAATCTATAAACGTTTAACTAACTGAGTCTGTATAAACAATAAGATGACATTTCCCTGAGGGAGGAATAAAAGTTGCTTACTGTAAGGAGTGGTCATCTGGGACTTTTGAATTTTCTGTGTAGTTCCTGAAGAAGTCATATAGCCCTGTAACCTGTTTGCAGAGGTACGCCTGCAGGGAGAGACAGCTTTACAGGAGAGTTTCAGGAATACACACAGCAACATCATATTTTGGCTGCACATCTTTTTATGTTCTAGCCAGCACCAACAGGCAACAAGCCAACATTTAGTTTGTTAAATCCAACTTTTCCATTCAATTCAGGTCAGTACACTTAAAAATGCAATAAAGCAAGGATCACTTCATTTAGAATGCCATAGGTGAAAAAGGATGTTTTCATGGCATGTACCTGCATGGGTCCATACACCTCGGTGCGGTCAAACATGAGGACAAAGTACTCAAGGTTCCTAACAGCAGACTCCCAGGGAGCATACTCTGTCTCATTGGAAAGGAAGCGGGTTGCGTTCAGAGCCAGAGTCACATTGACAAGTTCGGCCCTGAGGTAAACAGAGATTCAATTTTTTTATAAAATCATAATGGCATATAAGCCACCAACATGACCTTATTTCAATCATATTTTTAAATATAGTGTGACAGCTGTGAAGTAAATATATATGCAGTGCAGCCAGTGCCACCACAGTGCACCTGGTGCTGTAAATGAATTAAAGTGTAGCTGAAAGGCATTTCTATCATTTCTAAATACATCTCACTATATAACTGCAATCACATCTATCTAAGTGGTATAGCTCTATATTATTAACAAAAGAGCTGTGTGGTATTCATTTAAATAAATTGTGTACATTACTCTGAGTTACTTTACCATATGCAGTGATTGCTAGGATATAGATATTTTTTACACTTGTCTAGTGTCTATTTCAACATGTTAGAGTTATGGGATGTCTGTACTCTATGTTCTGTATGGTCAAAAACCAGTCTTGCCATGATTACTAGATAATGCCACTGTGTGAATCACAACACATTTAATCTTCAGAAAATTGAACAGAAGAGGCTTAGACACTAGCCTCAAGTGTACTGAGAGTGCAGGTAAAAGTAGTCAAAGTCAATACCTTGCCAGGTTAAATGCATCATCAACCAGCTGCCCTCTGTTCATCAGTGGGATCCGCTAGAAAAAACATTCAAAAGAGCAAGATGACATTTCAGTTCAGAAAGATCCCATATTTTACCAAAAGCAAAATCTCAATGAAAGCAGATGATGATGGCTTCAGGCACCAGGCTTTGAACCAAACAATTATCTACTGATTATTACATTAACATGTGTAGTAAGTCATAAATCAACAATCACACTACTGGAGGTAATGACTACATGAGTTTCTTTACAAATAAAATCACAACTATCAGAGAAAAAATGTATCAGATCCTTCTTTCAACTCTCTCAGATGTATCATCAAGTACAATGGCTTTAGAAACAGACCTCATTTATGCTAAGACTGCTTCTCTCCTATTGATATCTCCAAGTTTACCTCAACAATTGCTTCATCTAAATTATCAACATATCTCTTAGACCCCATCCTGACCAGGCTGCTCAGAGACGTTTTAACATTTTACCCCTAATCATCACATCTATATTAGATCTGATTAACCTCTCTCTATTAAAAGGTTATGTCCCACAGGCTTTAAAGGTTGCTGTAATTGAACCTCCTTGACCCAGGTGTTCTAGCTAATTATAGCCCAATATCCAATCTCCCCTTTATTTCTAAAATCCTTGAAAAGGTTGTTACAAAGCAGTTATGTGACCACCTGTACAAGGATGATTTGTTTGAGGATTTTCAGTCAGGATTTAGAGTCCATCATAGTACAGAAACTGCACTGGTGAAAGTCACCAAATGAGCTCTGTTAAGTCCAGTTCTCTTCACTTTATACATGCTCCCTTTAGGCCATATTATCAGGAAGCACAACATAAATTTCCATTGCTATGCAGATGATACTATATTTATCTATGAACCCAGATGAATCAGATCAGCTGGTTAAACTTCAACCATGTCTTAAAGACATAAAGGCCTGGATGACTTGTAATTAGGATAAGGATAATCACCTTTAATGGCCAAGTATGTTACACACAAGGAATTTGTTCCCGGTACAGAACCGATGGCAGCCATCTGCGGCGCCACCTCAACCGATAGCTTCCATCGGGGGCAACGTGGGGTTTCATTGTCTTCCCCAAGGACACTTCGACACGTGGACTGCCGGCATCGAGATTCAAACCTTCATCCTTCTGGTTGGGAAACGACTGCTCTACCCACCATACCACTGTCGCCTCCCCTAAATAAGTCGTGGCTAGAAAGTCACTTTCGGCTTTTCCCGTTTTTTTCAGGGGTCGCCACAGCAAATCGTCACACTGATGACTCACATGTTGGCATTTGGCATGTGTTTTACGCCACTGGCTTTCCTGACGCAACCCTGATTCTAACCCTTACCCACTAGCCTACCAGGGATGGCAATTTTCTTTAATTAATTTCTTACTTCTAAACTCCGACAAAACCAAACTTATTGTACATGGGCCTGAAAACCTTAGAAATTTGCTGTCTAACCATATAGTTACTTTAGATGACATAGCCCTGGTCTCCAGTACTGTTGTGAGGAACCTTGGAGTCATTTTGACCAGGATATGTCCTTTAAATCACACATAAACCAAGTCTCTAGAACTGCCTTTTTTCACCTGTGCAATATTGCGAAAATCAGGAGCATCCTGTCTCAAAGTGATGCTGAAAAACTGGTCCATGCATTTGCTACTTCCAGGCTGGACTACTGTAACTCTGTACTATCAGGATGTCCCAATAATTGCCTGAAAAGCCTCTAGTTAATCCAAAAATGCTGCAGCCAGAGTACTGACAGGAACCAGCAAGAGAGATCATAGCTCTGTCACAGCGAATTGCCACACTGGCGGCTCGCATGGTGAAGTTTGGTACATGTTTTACGCTGGATGTCCTTGCTGCCGCAACCCTGAATCGAACCTGGGCCAGAGCGGTGAAAGCGCTGAATCCTAGTCACTCAGCCATCAGTGGGGAGCCATAGCTCATGACTATTCAGTCATGTTAGAAAACATACCTACACATTTCAGCCAAATGCATAAACAAGTTAAACTAACCTTTGAACCTTTTCACTTGTCAAAGCATTATTTATTTCACCTTGATTTCTTCAATCCAGTCCAGTTCTAAGTGGATCTGGTTTCTTTTGGCCATGTCATTTGGCATTGTTTTTAATGTCGTTCCTCACTGAGCCACATGAACAGTATTTAGAGGGAAGTTGGGTGTTACTGGTTTCTGTGATTTGTTCACTTATTACTTGGTTCAGTACTCACCCGTGGGTTTGTCTCCAGCTGAGTCAGGAGGCGTTCCCAATTCTCAGGGTTGTAATTGACTCTGTAGTATCCAGTACAGTTTACATTTGCCAAGATCCACTCTCCTGACTTAGAAAGGAATTTGTCTTTTTTTACTGTTCAAAAGACACATTGTTTGAAGGTCAGTCATACTTAATTAGCAAAAAATCACAAATCAACTATGATATAATAAAAATAAAAAAACAAGTGTTTTACTTTGTGTCTCTGCTCATCTGCTTTGCCTCATCACACTTCCAACTGACTTGTATCCAGTCAATAACCATCATATCTTAGTGTGTCCAATAATTTACATTTTTAACAAGTTTTTCTATTTAGATCTGAGTGAGCTTGATAAAACAGAGAAGATGAAAACCTACTCTTTTTTTTGTTAAACACAAAAACAAATTTTCTGGAGCAGAAAAATTGTGTTTATTCCATTATGTTACCTGGGGCACTGGTGTCCAACCAGACTAGGGAAGAATCAGATGTATTTGACATGACTCTGATTGGGATGTACCACCAAAGACTACATAGACAGAGAAAACAGGCAAAGAACAGGGTATAATAAGTACATGTTGTAATATGGCCAGGATGTTATTAAGATTTTATGCAGTGAACAGTGAAGAGTCAGATTAAGAGTCTGAGGAAAATCATTCTTAGTAAAAGCTGCCAAAGGTAGTGCTCTGTAAATACTGTACAGCATCAAACCTGACCTCCATCATAGTAACAACTAACTGTACATGCAGTACCATCATGCCAATGTCTCAGTTTCAGTTTACACATGGTAAAAGCAAGTTCAAATAAAGTTAAAGTGGGTTAAATAATTATGCAGCTCATCAAGGTAGTGTTATGGACCACACAGCTACAGCACAAAGTTATCAAAACATTGAAGAAAGGTACAGTCTGGTATAATCAGCTGCAATGATTTCATGCAGGCCTGGCAGAAGAAATAATTGGTTAAGGTGGATCTGATGTAATAACTTCATATATTTTGCCAACCAAAGCAGAATTTACTCTTGAGTTACAGTATTTGTTGACAGAGGGAGTTAAACTTGTAAAGTGATAATTCAGTGGAGGACAGATTTACGACTGAACTTCGGCTTTTGAGGAGATAGTGAATGTAAAGGATCCTTTCCTAGTCTGAGCGGGTTGTATTCATGCTCAAGATGGACAATTTCAATCAATACTGAAGAACAAAGTCATAATTTTGAAACCCCTATTAAAAATTTCCTTCAAGGTTTTGCATTAATCAACAATCATATACATGCAACATATTCTAAACTATCCACACATGCCAAGTGAACTTTGACACAATCTTCACACTGGGGTCTTATGTTCACAGACAATGGGGGATCTGGTAACAAGAACAGGTACATTTTTACATTACATTATTTTATTGCAGTATTACTAAAACTGCATCAATTGATTTTTTTTGTCCACTTGCATGGTATTGGATGATACATTATGACTTTATAAAGTTGTTATGACAAACATATTAGAAAACAGTTCATCATATTGTATGTGGAGCAGTTCTTTAGCATTCATTCAAAGTTGTATTTCCATCTGATGAATGCATGTCAAATATTCATTCTCCACAGAGCTCTGTATGGTCTCCACCAATTCCTGTTTCTAGTGTGGACTTTGGTTTATCACCAAAATCTACACTAGACTCACCACCTAGCTGCTATCACTATCTGTTTCCTGTTTGGTGCTTGAGCTTTTTTTCTTTTTAAATCTGAGCTTTTTCACTGAACACAGCTGTGTTCTATCTGTGGAAATGAGGTTTGTGGGAGCAGTGAGGCCAAAGCACAAAAGTAAGGTTGTGGCCTGGAAAACCAAAACAATAACCTGTTAGACTGCAGATCAGCTGTGTGCACAGACATGTTCAACATGAGCCTGAGACTGGGGAGAGTATCGCAGCTATGGAAAACATTCTGTGTGGTGCCGGTGCCGAAGCCACAGCACCTGAAGGACCTCAACAACTACAGGCCGGTGGCACTGACGTCGCATCTGATGAAAACACTGGAGAGATTAGACCTTGTCCATCTCCGCTCCCTGGTGAGCTCATCTATGGACCCACTTTATTTTGCCTACCAGCCTGCCATTGGGGCAGATAAAGCCATCATCTACCTCTTACACAGAGCCCTCTATCACCCAGAGAAGCCTGGGAGCTCTGTGAGAAACACACCCTTTGATTTCTCCAGTGCTTTTAACACCATACAGCCAGGGCTTCTGAGGGGCAAGCTGGAGCACATGGGGGTGAATCTCCATTTATCAGACTGGATTCTGGACTACCTCCCCAACCTCACAGTATGTGAGAACATGGGACTATGTGTCTGACATGGTTGGTTGCAGCACAGGGGCCCCACAGGGAAAACGGTCTTAGCACCGTTCCTCTTCACCCTGTACACTGCCAACTTCATGTACAGCTCACTGAACTGTCACCTGCAAAAGTTTTCTGATGACTCCGTGATCATGGGCCTTATCACAGATAAAGATGACAGGGAGTACAGAGAACTGATTCAGGATTTTGTGGACTGGTGTCTTCGGAACCACCTCCAGATCAACACAGGGAAGACCAAAGGGCTAGTGGTGGATTTCTGCAGGTGCAGACACCCCCCTCCACTCTCAGGAAACAGCCGAGGAATGGACACTGAGAGTGGACTCTTAAAAGTTCCTGTGCATTGACCTCAACAATGAACCAGACTGGTCAAACAACCCTGAGGCACTTTACAAGTAAGGCCAGAGCAGACCTGAGAAGATTGAGATCATTTGGAGTATGGGGGACACTCATGGGGACCTCCTTTGACACAGTAGTCACATCAGCCACTTTCTATAGGGTGGTCTGCTGGGGTGGTAGTATCTCGATCGCAGACAGGAATAGACTGAACAAACTGGTCAAGAGGACTGGCTCTGTCCAGGGGAGTCCCCTTGTCCCAGTGCAGAGGACTGCAGACAGGAGGTTGTTAGCCAAGCTGACATCCCTGCTGGAGAAGGACTCCCACTCCATGCATGAGACTCTGACAGCACTGGACAGCTCCATCAGTGGCAGACTGCTTCACCCCAGGTGCATGACAGAGTGCTATTGCAGATCATTTCTTCCTGCTGCTGTCAGACTGTACAACCAACATTGTTCCCCACACACCAGAGACTGAATAATTGTGAATACTCAGCATACCATCTTATCTCATCTCATCTTATCTTATCTTGATTTATCTAACCTTAGCTTAGCTTAGCTTACCTTATAAGATAGGTAGAGCTGAGAGGAACTGGAGAAGTGAATGATATTCACTATGGGTTCTTCAATATGAGCAACCACTTTTACATTATACAGTCATCTAATTAATTGTTCATTTAATAATGGATGAGGATAGCTTTAATTTACAAAATGAAATGTGGAGGGCCCAGGACTAAACCTGAGACTCCAAATTTAACACCCTGAAGAAGGCAGTTTATGCCATAACATTATTAAAGCCTCAGAACGTTGCACAACATGACTTGTGACTTGCTTGACTTATAGTAGGGGCTTGACCTGACTTGCCTGATTCTCACCACAGTAACTTAGGACCTACACATTGAGAGCTGCTGTACCAGAGTCAAATTCCTCGTGTGTCCAACACACCTGGCCAGTAAAGCTGATTCTGATACTTGAGAAAGTTAAAACTTAAGACTTGCTTGTGACTTGCACATGTGTGACTTAGGCCTACCCCCACCTCTGGCTTCTATTAATGTTGAACATTTCAGAGAAATTAAATGCATTGGTCTATTATTTTCTCTCTCACTCATTTTCTACCACTTAGTCCCTGAACAAGGTCACGGGGGGCCGGAGCCAATCCCGGCTGGCAATTGGGCGAAGGCGGGGTACACCCTGGACAGGTCGCCAATCCATCACTATTATTTTCTTATGTTGAAAATAAGTATGATAATATCTGAAACTATTTTTACTGGATTGTTACTCATTGATCACCGTCATTAATGCCATCTGTTGTAACCAAACTGAAAATTGTGATGTCAGTATTGTAGGAAGCGCTTTTCACAGGTTCTAAACTTAACCTACATCATCTATAGGGCCTTTAACACAAACCTAGATTCAGAAGAGTCATTGTACAGGAAGTGCTTCTGGTAAATTTCTCCATTGGTAGTGTTGATGGTGAGGACAGGATAGCCAATTTGATTAGTCCAGCTGTCCATCACCTTGGCAACCTTGGTGTGGCCACCGTCCTCATCGACAGCCTGCAAACATGGGCGTAGGTCAGTTAATAGTTTATCATATAAATACCATAATGAGGTCAATAACTCTTTCAACAGTGACATTGGTATTAACATTATTATTATCACAAACAAGACATGCTTCAATCAGCAACAAAAATTCTGAATGTAAAATTCTACTGACTAAATCTAAAGATGAACCTTTTGTATATACTCCCAGAAGTCGTTCCGGTCAGTGTTGTTATAGCGGAAGTCCCGGAGATACCTCTAAATCAGAAAGAATGAACAAGAGAGGTTATTGTTAGCACATTTTACATTGTTAAAACATTTTACATTCAGATTTGTTGTTGAGAACCAGATGACCTTATCCAAATACAGCCGCCAGCAGGAGAAGTCATTTAAGATGTAATGATGAAATAAATGCTTTGCTGAAAACAGGTTTTGCTTGATTTTCTGGACAGGCACACTCACAGTACTGATGTACCAGGTCTTGTAGGCCTGGTCCCTTAGAGATTTTGATCACTCCTTTCAACAGCATTGTTTTCATTTAGTAATCTGTCTGCTCTGTCCCATGCAGAACCAACATTTTGCATTGTTTGTTCTGCATTGCAACAGATGTAAACCAGATGTTGGAATGTTTGACTTCAGAGAAACAGTGATACATTGTTTTTTTCAACAGATCAAACGACTTTGTCTATTGATATTTAAATAAATTTATGTAACTGACTACATGATGCCTTCAAAGTGAGCTTTGAAGTGAGACAAGTGAGACAAAATGTGAGAAAAACCAGCTCCCAATTCCCAGCTTCTCCAGTCCACATGTTGAAGTGTCCGTGAGCAAGACACTGAATCCTAAGTTTCTCCCAGGTGACTGTCGCCATCAGTGTGTGAATGGGATGAATTGGTGAATACTGTAAAGAGCTTAGAGTGCACTGCCTTGCATAGTAAAGCGCTATTCAAGTATAAGTCCATTTACCGGGTCTAATCTATAAAATGACCATGAAGCTGAATTTCTCTAAAGCTGCATTGAGACACAACACATTACAACTGACCATGCAAATTTCAAAAACAAAGTTGACTGAAAGAGACACAAGAAAAAAACAGACTCAAATTCAGTCCAGTCCAGTGGGCAAATGTGCACGAATAATCCAAGGATTTTTGTGTAAACACTAAAAACCCGGTTAACACACACAACCAAACCAAAACTACACACAGCAAAATCCATTTGTCTTTGGGAAATAGTGTTGTAGATTTACTGACATAGAGACTAGTTATAGGGCAAATTGGCAAATTCTTAGCTGGCAAGCTTACAACAAACATGGTAACAAGCTAGGAACATGCTAGCACTTCTTAGTCACAACAGTGCTCTCAGAAGCCATCAGCACACTTTCTTTGGCTCTCTAAAGTCTCACAACATAAATACTTAAATCAGACTTTTGTCATTTTCCTCCTGCCTATTAAAGCATCAAATTAGAAAACTGGTTTGGTTCCCTATCTGTGTTGTAAATGATGTCATATTCTGTATGGTGAGCCACACTGTCCCAGACTCTGAAGTTCTACTCTCTCCATGTCCTATCAGAATCAACAATGTTTAGAGCAAGCTTTTGGAGAGCTTTTATTCTTCAAAATAATTTTAGTATCCTTAGAAGATAGGCGCTGTTGAATGATTTCCTTAATAGGTCCAAAAATGTGCAAAGATACCTAAGAATTTCAGCCTGTTATTGCTTACCTTGACCCCTGTGTTGAAAACTCTTTCATCCACAATATCTGCCAGCATTCTCAGCACAAGTGCCCCCTACAGAATGAACAGCAAATGCATGTTGGTATGTTGCTATCATAATACACAATATGACCTGCAACCAAAACAGGAAAAAAGAATCTAGTGTAGCACTGTGTAGCATCCAAGCTTTTTAATAATGATTCCTTCGCTATGTGTGCTTCTGTGCTGCAAGCCACTATAGTGGTCATGAGGGAGGATGTGTATTAATTGCTAGACTCATTTGACTCTCTACCTTACAGTAGGTTATGGAATCAAACATCCCATTAATCTCATAAATGCTCTGGACATCTTCCTGTGGAGGACTTAGAGGATGGGATGAAGCCAGAGCATCCTCCACAAACGCTGTATGAAGGTCAGTCAAAACAAATGTGTCAATCTGGGGAAAACAGACAACATGCTGCATGACTGCATGACCCAGGCTAAATGAACATATGATGTTTTTGCATTGCCTATTTGCATCAAGCTGTCTTTATGGTGTATTTTAAACAACTTTGATTGCTACAAAGTGAAAAGCTTTCCTACAGTAAAGAAAAACATCTATCAGTCAATGTATAAGAAGTTGGTCACAACAGTCAAACTGAATGAAATGACAGAAAAAAATGCATGTAATTATTAAAAGCACAATCTTCAGGATTTTTCCATTACTAAATATTTAGTGATGTTTAGTAACAGAATGAAAAAAATGTAAATCTGAACTTACTATTTTGAATGATGGTTCAACATCGTCCACTGCAAAATAAGATATATACGTGGCAAAGCCTTCATTCAGCCAAAGGTCATTCCACCATTTCATCGTCACTAGATTTCCAAACCACTGTCAACAAAATGAGATCTCACATATAGATATGGTATACACCAATCAGCCATAACATTAAGACAACTGACAGGTGAAGTGAATAACTGATTATCCGGTTACAACGGCACCAGTCAGTGTGTGGGGTATATTAAGCAGCAAATGAGCATTCGGTCCTCAAAGCAGATGTGTTGGAAGTAGGAAAAACTGGCAAGTATAAAGATCTGAGTGACTTTAACAAGGGCCAAGCTGTGATGGCTGACAACTGGGTCAGCGCATCTCCCAGACTCCAGGTCTGGTTGGGTGTTCCTGGTCTGCAGTGGTTAGTACCTACCAACAGTGGTCTAAGGAAAGATATACAGTGACCCGGTGACAGGGTCATGAACGCCCAAGGCTCACTGATGTTGAGGTTGATCTACCATATATTAAGTTTTAAAATTCTTAACTCAACTCAACTCAACTTTATTTATAAAGCACTTTAACACAGCCGAGGCCAACAAAGTGCTTAACATAAGATACAATTCAAAACATCTAAAAACGTGACAACTACATTATTAAAATACCAATAAAATAACATAAAAGAACCAACATAGCAAAATAACAAAATACTATCAACCACAACACAGCCCAAACAGAGTCTCATAGCATATCAAACGCTAAGGCATACAAGTGAGTCTTCAAGTAAGTTTTAAAAATAGCCACGAGGGGGCCTGCCTGATGTAAAGGGGCAGCGCATTCCATAGCTTAGGAGCCACAATGGAAAAGACTCTGTCCCCTCTGAGTTTGCACCTAGCCCTCGGTACCTCAAGCAAGAGCTGGTCAGCTGATCTGAGGCACCGGGAGGAACTATAAGGAAATAAAAGCTCAGCAAGGTACAACGGAGCAAGACCATTTAAAGACTTAAAAACAAATAAAAGAATCTTAAAATGAATCCTGAAAGACACTGGAAGCCAATGAAGGGATGCCAAAATAGGAGTTATATGCTCCCTTTT